GGATTCGCAGCAGTGTTTCCGGACAGCGTCGTGCGGGGGCATTTACTATCTTCAGCTAGCATTTTTACTGCTGAACTGTATGCCATTCTTGCAGCACTTATTTGTATCGCATCTATGCCTGTGTCATCATTTGTAGTAGTCTCAGACTCCCTTAGTGCTCTACAGGCTATACGAAAATTTGATACATCTCATCCCCTAGTTCTCCGTATCCAACTTTGGCTACGCCGTATCTCTACCAAACAAAGATATTGTTTTTTGTTGGGTCCCTGGTCATGTCGACGTACAGGGCAATGAACAGCAGACACTGCTGCGCGGTCAGCAGTACATGACCTACCAATTTCCTATCGAGGTGTTCCATTTCTGGACTATTTGCTCCAATAGCTACCCACCTTCGCACTCCGTTGGCAACAACGTTGGTCAACTCTGCTCGGTAACAACAAACTTTCATTCCTATAAAAACCGACATAGGTTACTGGCCGTCTCTTGTCATCATTGACCGAGGTTGGAGACCACTCCTCCCGCCTACGCATTGGCCACACTCGTCTTACTCAATGGTATTTCATGGAGAGGCACCCCTGTTCCTCTCTGTGAGCAGTGTCAAGTTCCAGTATCGATTAGCCACATCTGTTAGACGCCCCTCTCTATCAACGAGCACCAGAATTTACCTCCAACGTCGTCTTCGTTCTACTACTCTCTCCTTTACTCTTCCCGTCTTGCTGATGGACCCTCCTTTAATCCTGACTCTCTCATTGACTTCTTGATAACGACTGATTTACTTACTCCACAAACCTGAGAACTTTTCGCACTCAACCCTTCAGCCCTTTCTAGTTCAGTCTCTTGCTGCCCTTTTACCCTTGCACCATCCACTGCCCCGCTGTTATCCGTACCCTATTACTCATCCATCTCCCTTTTGCCACCTGATGCCCTCGCTTCCTTCCTGCCCTGCAGCGCTGTATAGTCCTTGTGGCTTAGCGCTTCTTTTTGATTATAATAATAATGTTATCCGTAACCTATTACTCATCCATCTCCCTTTTGCCACCTGATGCCCTCGCTTCCTTCCTGCCCTGCAGCGCTGTATAGTCCTTGTGGCTTAGCGCTTCTTTTTGATTATAATAATAATCAACCTTTTATTAAGGTTGTTCATTTGACATCGTAGGTTACTGACTCTTGGCTATGTTGGACATCAATTTGCAACTCGCTGGGACCCTAGAGGGCAGCCTAACATGTCCATAATGGGTTTAGCACTTTGATTGTAATAAAAGTATGTCCCTGCATAATGGAATTCCCATAGCAAACAGCACTACCTCTACGGACTATGACAAAATCAGGCACTAAACCCACTAGGGTCATCACTAGTAGTAAATACCCCTAAAGGCCAAAAAGAGAGGAGAGGGGGGGATTCAGTTCAAGAAAGGAAGCAAGAGGTCTTGATCTAAGGAGTTAAGATTATTATTATAATCAAAAGCGCTAAGCCACAAGGGCTCTTAGATCAAGAGCCCCTTTGCCACGCCAAGGGACTCCCCCCCCCCCCCTCCCTTGAAAGGGGTCACTTACCAATAGGTCAGTAAAAGTGATTTTACTAACATTTATGATCTGTTTATTTCATGGTTACATAATGTTCTATAAACATCCTAAGACACACCACATTGTAAGGAAGTACACCTTGTCAGGAAAGTAATGTTCTATCCTGTTATAATTCATATTATAGTTGATTTAACTACAAATAATGCAGGTTTGGGCTATTTGTGTAAAACAAGTCCTCATACTTTGAAATATTAACTTGATAAGCAAAAATATAAATATAAGACATGTGAAAACAAATCATGGTTACAAGAAGACACATCAAAATGAGATATATAAATATGCACACAAATTTTGGTGACTAGACAGAGATGCACATGGGCCTAAATATAACACTGTATCCCATAGAGATCCATAAAACGCCCAGTTTTGACTTTTCCAAATTACTGTGATGATTTATGCAATTCAGAGTTCTTCACTGTTTACACGTCACTGAAGATCATTTTATCAATCTCATTTCGTGATTGGGAACTGCAGTCTAATTATAAAAATATTCAACTAAGCTTTTATGACATATATATAATATATATATTTATATACAATATTACCATGGCAAAGCAAACAATGGAAGAACTTGAGGTACCTAAATCTGACAATTTTGCATTTACCTTTTACTACCTATGGTTCACTAAGGGATATATGTATTTAAAAAAAATAGGATATGAAATGTGTATATCATTCTCTCATCACTTAAAAAATGCCTTGACAGCTATTTCTACTGTATTTTCCACCTGCAAATGTATTCATTATTGAATGAATAACAAATGAAGAGAAAATGTGTAGTCTGTTAAATCTGGGTGAAAGATATTATAACAAAGTGCCCATAATAAAGGATTCACAGTCAACAACACCTGGTAATGTATTCTCAACACGAGGAAATGGAAAATGACAAATAAATATCTATAAAACAAAACGTGTAAACAATCAAATAAAACATTGTACACACAAACGGCATAAGCTTATATCACTGCTTAAAAACTGTCTCAGCATAATGAGAAAAACTTGATCAACACAAAACAGTATACTCTTGAAAAGGTACAAAGTTATCTGTACAAGGACAGTGGTGTCGTCTAAAGGAAAAACACTCGGTTAATGAAATGCTTTAATCAAGATTGAAGGATTCCCTTGAATACTGTACTGTATTTGCATTAAATTCCAATACTTGTTTATATTTTGACAACCATGTGGAGGTATGAGCCTCATTAATGAGTAAATAGTATTACTAACCTGGGCACTTGAGGGCCAATGTTCTACAGGCATCTAAAAAATAATTTGTTAATCTTAATAAAAATAATTTTTATTAAGATTAACAAATTATTTTTATTAATCTTGATAAAAAATAAAGCTGCAGACAAAAAACAGTGATAAGACACATTACAGTCCAGTATTGTAAATTGACAGTTTAAGTGTAGTTTGATGAAAACCTTATGCTAGCAAATTACAGTACTGTATATTAAAAACATGAAAATAAGCTTCTAGCAAACTAATGACCCAGATGAAAGCACTAAAATCTAACAATAATGCAAAATGTAGTTAGATTTGAAAACAAAACTTGTCATTTATGAAATTTAATGCAAGGATTATTTTTAGTAACAATGAACCTGATATAAGCATTTCATTAACTAACTTTCACCTCTGGATGGCACAGTGGGCAGTATGACCAGGCCTAGCCGAAACTCCATTATACTTGCATGTTCCAGCTAAGACTCACAACTTAATGCATATCTTGTTTCAGTATCCTCATTTTCAGCTGCATAACTTGGGAAGCATATTATGTACTGTAGTTTGTCACTCCACTCCAATTTCTATGGTATTAAAAGTCAGTCCATTTTTTTTTGTCATGAAAATTGCATAAAAAACAAATTTACAGACCTTAAAATAACTTCAGTACAGTATCTATCATGCATAGGAACTTTGACGTCTTGCCCCAAAAAGAGCCAATGCCTTGTGAAAGCACTGAATGGCACATTATGAACTTCAGTTCATTTACATACAACACAGGCAGGTGAAAACACTAAATTATCAAGAGTACCAATTGACACACATCACCTGCCTCACTCTGACTAATTTCAGGAACTTCATTTAACTAACCATCACAATTTGTCACAGCTTCATATATCTTGGCTAGACTCTCAATCATTGCTAAGGAGTCTCATTGGTACTTCAAATGGGTTCTCACGTCCTCAAAATAACGAGGAAAGAGTTTTGAAGTTCTCGATCTGAGAATTATCAGTGATGAAACCCTTTACATTTACAATGTTTATATATCAGTATAATTAGGGCCTGTATTCATTGGACATGTTTAAAAAATTGCATGCATTAATATTGCACTAACCTAGAATCGCACCCTCTGGAGATGTCAAAAACCATACCAACAGACATATATATATATTAAATAACATCTTCACACAACCTTCTCACCTAAATGTATTACTTAAACATGCTCAGGTTCTTACAAACTCTTTCTAAGCAGCTCTCCTCACAACACACTTAACTTCTAACACCTAAGGCCATAATCCATGGGAAGCATTTTTACCCACACCCCTTTACTAAAAAATACAAAAAAAAATAAGTGTTGAACAATTACTTATATACTGCATTTAAAACACCACATTCTGAAATCAACCTTTCATAGTCTATAAAAACATCTTATATTGTGATGTAGGGGCTCCCCTGTTCCACACTGTGAGAATAATAAATGGGAGACCAATGCAAAACATGTTAACATCACAAATCACTTTCACAGTATATTTCTACATAAAAGATCACAAATGACATTTTTTCACAAAGTAGCATTACATCATATCTTTCAAAACTACCACCAAGAAGGCTATCCTCCTTACAGCACTTGGTTAAAATATTGCAGTAAAAACTAACAGCTTAAGAACAAGTTGAAAGTCAACAGTCCACAATTAATATCTAGACTCAGGAACTAGAAAAAAATATATAAAAAATATATTAAATAAAATACCTAAGCATATGATTTTCATATAATGCCATGATTTAAGAAATAGCAAATATATCACTTTACTATCCATCCCCAAATTCTTCATTGTACTCTCAACATACTAATATAATAAAAGTATAAATTTCTTGATTACAAGACCTTAAATTAGTTCACAAAATTTACAACAGCCTTTTCAAAGTCACTCACTGGGCACTAGACTGGCTTTATATGTCACCCTTATATATAGTCCATCACACACCTTGTGAACAATAAATAAAAATTCTTCAGAGCAAATGGCAAATCCACCAAAGAGATTCAAATCTAATTTATTTACTCTCCTACTTGGGAAAGTGTTTAAAAACCTTAAAAACTTGGTACAGGAAATGTATGTTATTTATATATGTGTTTTAGTTATATATATGTGTGTGTGTGTGTGTGTGTGTGTGTGTGTGTGTGTGTGTGTGTGGTGTGTGTGTGTGTGTGTGTGTGTGTGTGTGTGTGTGTGTGCAGACAGATAGATAGATAGCACAAAATATAAAACAATTAACTGATCTAAAAATTATGTTACATCACTGCTGAAGAAAGATACAACTTTCCTGATCTGGGTTAAGTACAATAAAAGTTGCTAATTACGCTTGAAAAACAAAAACTTTCCTCTTTGATGGCCAAGTCACTGTAACATTCAGCAAGTTAACTCTATGTTCATATTTCTGATAGTAACCCAACAAATTGCAAGATAAAAATATCAGATCAAATATCAACTATTCAGTTTCCTCACGATTCATCAACGGAGAATAATACACACAGTAGTACAATAAATGTAAAGACAAAAATGGCAGCTGTAATCCAAGTCTATAATAATTTATCACTTCTATAAATTGAAATCATTAAAAATAACCATAAAAAATTAATTTTGATCAGCAAATACTTAAACAATAATTGCTATCTGATGTGAAAAGACAGGACAATGTGATGTTAATAACTCGACAAACTACAATCTCACACCCATCACATGGAATCCACTGGATTCAACTTATCAGACGTCAATTAAAAATACAATACATAAAAATTCCAGTAGCGCAGATGAAAACAATTAAACAGCCCATTTGATAATATACAGTATTATATCTCTAACTTAAGTTATATTTAAACAATGGTATGCAATTACTGCTGAAGATTAGTGAAAATTTAAACTATATAAATATTACCAATTACTAGTTTGACAAATTTAAACTGGCATATACTTTACTCTATTTTCATTTTAATTTATGTTATTACACATACAGGTACTTCAATTAATATATCCAATGCATAACTAAAGCAAAAATCCTTATCTAACAGTGAAACTTTGCAATCAAACTAATTTTGGACAATTCAAACCTCATATTGTTGAATTATAGCTTATAATGATATGCTATTTGCAAATGTCATATATTTGCTTTAAGGGCTGAATCATCTGAACTTACTTTGATGCTCTTTTCATATCTCAAATTTCCAAATAGAAGACCGACATCCATAAAGCAGTGTTGGCTTTACTACTTAAAAATCTCTTTTTAAAAACTGTTAAAAGATAATGACAACTGTAATTTAGTATTGTTTAGACAGATTTAGTATATATAAATAAGTAGTGCAAAGAGCATCTAGGTAAGTATATACTTTGGTAGCTCTACCAGTTCATATAGCAATTCTTAATTCATTCCTCACGGTACACCTCAAGAACTTCTGCTAGCTGGGGATCAGCAATCCCAATGTCTTAAAATTTACTTTTCATTTCAAAAGAAAGACTTTTAAGATACACATACAATATTCCATAATTCTTATCCACAACTTACAAGTGTGTTTCTTTGCACCAATCACTGGTACCCTTATTCTCAATGCTCAACACACTAAGAACTGTACAGTTTCTCAATGGTAGCATTCAAAATTCAAATACACTGATATATAACAATATCCATATTAAATGGTTAGGTTTAAGTGCTCAGGAAATAAGAAAAATAATAGTCCCGAAACATGGCATTGGGCATTTAAAGATGCATCACATACAGCCATATAAAAAATCTAACACTTGATCCCAGATGCAGTCTTGTAAATTAGTGGTGTATATATATATATATTTCTCATAGACTATGGTAATATTTTCACATGGGCATTTGTTCTCAATAGTTATGGTTACAGGCAACCTTGCAACCCTTAAGAGCAAATGACTAAATTAACAGTATTATTTTCAAACAGATTTTTACCCTGTATAGTTTGGACCACTGCAAGAGCTTAATTTGCCCAGTACAGGTATTGATTAAAAATTCAATGTGTAACATCATGTGTAAAACCCACATATAATATACTTAAAACAAATCCCATATGAATAATGTTAAGAGTAGGGTTTTTAACATACCCAGCAATTTAAAAGAATCACATCTGGTTTCTTTTGCGTCTACTCGTAATTTAGAAACTAGAGAGCACAATTTTTTATCACAAAGAAAGACAGCTGTCACTTTCTATAAATATTTGCATACTTTATGAAATGAAAAATTGTGGTTCTTCATAAACCTGAAAAAAAGGCTTATTTAAAAATTGGAAGCTAGACTTGACAGCATACATTAAGCACTACACATGGCCAGTATACGCATTGTATGGTAATCTAAAATAAATTTGCTACAGCTTTTAACTCTCCATAATTTTTATATGGATTAACTACTAAGCAATTAATGTTCAGAAATCTGGACAGCTACTATACACTACAGCTACCACAGCAAATCCATAATTGTACTACACAAATTGTAATGTCTATCATCGTAGGAACCTTCAATCATAACATCACATCTTCTATATGAAGATTAAATAAGCCAACAGACTTGACTAATTAAAAAAATAAGAAAAATAGCTTCTCCTAACTTTTAGAAGTGTGATGGAACTTCTTGATCATGCCTTAGATATGATGAATATATCTGGACCTTGTATGTCACAATCTGTCTGCTGAGTGCAAGTATAAGCCTTGGCCAGCTCACCTTCAAGTGCTCAGTGATGATACTGCCGCAAAGAAGGATCATAGGGCCAGAATGGCAGTGGATAAAGTGTGTGCTGGCTTGCTTGGGGAGACTGATTCATACTGTCTAATGCTGCGTGATTTTGCATATGTGGTGGCCACTGGGGCGTGCTGGATGGGGTTTGAGTTGGCCGAATAACTCCCATATGACTAAGATTGTCTGTCATACGGCCTAGGTTGTCTCCTAAACGTCCCATAGGGTCTGCAGCACTTCCTCGACTCATGGTACGCAAATTGTCTCCAAGGCGGCTGTAATTATCACGTTCATCATAATGAGACATGGAATCAGACATGCGACTCTGGTTTTCAGCCATGCGCCGCAAGTGTTCTGCTAAATATCCCCCTGGTGTACTAGTCATTCGCCCAAAATTTTCAGCAGCCATACGACCCAAATTATCAGTCATGTGAGGAGTATCAGTTATACGTCCTGGACTATCAGTAGCTGAATTTCTCATATCACTCATATGGGACTGTGGAGCATTAATGAGAGGAGATTGTGGGGCAGTAGACATGCGTCCTGAATCATCACTCATGTGTGCTTGGCTAGCAGTCATACGGGTTAGATCTTGAGGCATGTGTAAGGTCTCTTCATTGACAGACATCGAGTGATGTTGGTTCATTCTCATGTGTTCGTCTGCTTCAATGGTGTCCTTCATGAGACTAACAGGAGTATCTCGTCTGTCAGTCATATGCCTCATGTCGTTCATGTGACTTGAAGTGTCTCGCATATGTAATTGATTGTCATCAAGGGATTCTGTATTACCTTCTTGCTTCATAGACAACCCTAAACTAACTGAAGACCCTAGGGAAACTCCTAACATATTTTTTACAGCTGAATTGGCAGCACCATAAGCCTTTTCACGAAGATCCTCTGGTGTCATATGTGATGGTATAGGTGAGGAAAGATATTCTGAATGGTCTGACATATCATCTGCCAGTCCCTCTATATGCATATTATGAATCTTCTTCTTGTGCACTTTAAGATTGTAATCATTAGAGAAATACTGACCACAAACTTCACATTCATCATTGAACTCAGTTGGGCCAAAATGCTTTTTTAAGTGCTGACAAAGCCCAGCACGTTGATTAAATGTCTGTCCACAGTGTTCACATGAATATTCTTTGTCTAACGTATGTGTTTTGAGATGTTGCTGCATATTGCTTTTTTGACCAAATGATTTGCCACACTCTGGACATGGAAAATTGCCGCCCTGGTGAACTAACTCATGCTTTTCTAAATACTTCCTACTGGTAAAGAGTTTGCCACAATAGCAACATGGTAAACTGTCATTATTATGCACTTCCATTAGATGATGTCTCAGGTCAGTCTGTTTGAACATAGTGCCACATATGACACAAGGGATGTCCTCACGATCTTCATGCCATTTTATATGTTGCACATAGGTCGTGCGTTTATTGAATGTCTTACCACACATGTTACACTGGAAGTCTCCAAACATAAGCAACTCCTTCTGATTGTGCGTTCCATGTTGCTCGGCTAAACGTAAATGTTTCTCTAGCTTTTCCCGCCATGAGAACCCCTCCCCACAGGATTCGCAAAGGTACAAGTTGTTTAATTTTTCATAAATTTTGCATTTTCCAGCACTTTCTAGCTTTGAAATGTGGAAATCAAAATTGGGTTTGTGGTAGAAGTGAACCTGGCAATAATGACAAACATATTTGATCTTGTTCTTGTGATTGTTATAATACTCTCTTCGTTTTTCAAGTTCTTCCTTTGAAAGAACTGGGCGTGGAAGAATCTGGATACCAGAATTACCATTAGATGTGTTTGCCAAGTCATGGGCACCATTTTCCCCGGCTGGAAGTCCTTTGCGTTCATTCCCAGGTTCATTCTTGACAACCATTCCATCTTTCAGGATGATCTGTGGTTCAAAAATGTTACCATCTTCATCAATTGTGTCAGGGCGTTGCATGCCAGGTCCATCTGAAAATAATACCAACATTTTAAATGTGCCTCAAATTTATTTAATTTTAAAACTTACATAAAATATACTTCAAATGTGTGAAAAATATAAATAGTATGAACTAAGAAACTGATAAAAGAGCAGTAATACAATCAAATTCACACCAAATTAAATGAGAGAGACAGAAAATAAGTAGCATACAGTATTCTACACACATTAACCCTTAAGCTGCCAATGATGTAAATTTATGCCAACTAGGAAAATGCCACTGACGTATGTTATGCTTACGTTCTAGGGCCTTGAAAATGGTCATAATCAGCCTGGTTAGGTGTACATCAGAGAAAACAAGTCCAGGTTGTAGGTGAGTGCAACATAAAAGAACTCCTGTTGTGTGCAGGGCATTGTAGGAGCCAGAGTATGCTATTTCCTTAATACAAGAGGGTCCTGCTTATTCAGCACCCTCTTTTCAGCGTTCCATGTTTTCGTTGGTTTTCAATTGAACCATTGTTCATTGTATTCAGTGCTTCTGCTTTAATGCAATATTTTAAGATAGTTTTATATACAGAAAAGGGATGATGAAATTTGAGGGTCCACTGTATATACTTTGCGTTTATTTTACTTTTGTATCTATTTAACCCTTTGAGGGTCGACAGGCCCTCTCCGAAACTCGTTCTCAGGGTCGGCCAAATTTAAAAAAAAAAAAAATTATTTTCTCTTATGAAAAGATAGAGAATCTTTTCCCGATCATAAAGACACCAAAAGTTTGAAATTTGATAGAAAACTTACGGAATTATGCTCTCGCAAAGTTAGCGGTCTCGGCGATGTTTACGCATCGGCGATTTTGCCCACTTTGAGCCCCATTTTCGGCCAATTTCACTGTACTAGTCGACAAAAAACATGAATATTTCGCTAGAACTCCATTTTTTCTATCAAATGGGTGCAAGAAACCACCCATTTATGAAATTCAACTATCCAGTACAGTGGTCAGAATTTAGCAATTTTGCCAATTTCACACAAATTTCAAAAGATGCCAATTTCCGAATAGGGTCCAGAATAAACAAGAAAGACATTCCTGGCACTAAAATGACATTTCCTCTAGTCATTAGTCATGTCTCAAGGCCCCTCTTATATTCTTTTGCTTTCCACTTTGAATTTTTATTCTCACAAAAAAATAAGATTTACTGTTATGCAGACTACTGCATTAGTGTAAAAAATGGTATAAATATTGTTGGTGCACTTGTGAAAGAATATTAGACTCACCAGTTGACGTGTATTGCACGCTTGGCACGATTTGTTTACTTTTGAAGTTTGGTAAAAATCGAACATTTCTGCTACTTTGAGCTCAATTTCAAGGCACCTTTCATTGTAAAACCAGTCAAAATCATCTCAATTTCTGTAACATGTCTTCCATTCTATAAAATGAGACCAAGAAAACTAGAATACAACAATAAATACCATATGAAAATACACTGCAAAGTCGCTGATTTATTCCAAAAAAATGGTCAAAGTTTTTTTTTTCTCATTATGCACTGTGTGCTGCAGGATTTTTTTTAGACTGTGCACACTGACCACATAGACCCATTCTTTCATATGAAGGCCTACCAGCTTTCTCCCACTAGATTTGAGGCCGCTAGAATTTATGCGTACTAGTACGTCAAAAACCCCTACGCGTAAGACATACTAGTACGACCAAAACCCTCAAAGGGTTAAGTGTTAAATCAAGACTTCTGAAATGGTAATAACACCACTGCAAATAAATCACAGAATGGGTGTGGTCTGAACTCACAGTGAGTTCTAAAACTCAGACCTGTGAGTTTCAGGACTCACTTGCCATGAGTTCAAACCCCATCCATTCCATGATTTGTTAAACACTGCATACATTAATAAAATACTTAAATTAGGATTATTTCATAAAATAATAGGTGTTAATAAGTGTAACTCTCACACAAATTCCACAAACATGCAGAACCCTTACAAAATAAAACTCCAAACACTCGACTCTCTTCAGTCAACCCACCAGAATTCCGGTACTCACAGCCTACAGGGGGAGGGTATTTCCTGGGACGACCTCGCTTCCCTGTACCTGCTGGGATGTATTTCTTCTTCCTGTAAAAAATTGACACTATAAACAGGAGAGACTAATAAAGTAGAGCAACAGGAAACATATTAATAAAGCAAACTAATGACATGAACAGGAGGCACTGATAAAACATATCAATATCAAAACTGACTAACGAGAGTAAAAGTGTTATTGAAAAGATGATGGTTAATAAAATTAATGTAAGAACAAGCTATGAAAATAAAATAAAAACAAGACTATGTACTGAATGTATTGTTAGTGTATCCTGCAGTAAAATACTGCACTGGTGATACAAGCTGACTCAGTAAAGCACACAATATATAGAATTCCCACAAGCAGTCTACACTTCACACAAAACTTTTATACTTAGCATTAGAGAGAAATTAATAAAATGGCTACTCTATTAGTACTATATTACACCAACAACCACATTTTTGTACTAAAATTATTTATGTAAGATACTAAGTATACATAAAAAATTAAATCTAAGTTGAATATTTTAAAAAAGGGGGTCATTCAATCTGCTTAAAAATAAGTCATTCTATCTAAAAACAATTACAGTGGACCCCCGCTTTACGATCAGCTCCCAATGCGACCAATTATGTAAGTGTATTTATGTAAATGCGTTTGTACCGTGTATGTTTGGGGGTCTGAAATGGACTAATCTAATTCACAATATTCCTTATGGGAACAAATTCGTTCAGTAATGGCACTGAACATACTTCTGGAACGAAATAATATCGTAAACCGGGGGTCCACTGTATTTTAGCTACAAATTTGAAAACAAGCACAAAACCCATATGGTTCATGCAGTTTATACACAAAAATATACATGAAATAAGGGTGTTCCAGCCTGTCTGCACATGCATACAGGACAGACATAGATAACATTTTTTTTTTTTACCTTAACAGCTGTCTCCCACAAAGACGGTGACCCCCCAAAAAAGGAAACACAATCACCATCATTCATTCAGTTGCTGTCTTCCCAGAAGTATGGTGACATCACAATTCAGATTACCCTCTATCTGCAACATCCTCACCCCTTGTATAGAGTGCAGGCACTGCCCTTCCTGCCTCCAGGACTCGAGTCAGGCTAACTGGTTTCTAACATTTTATGCTCTTATTAAAAAATTGCAGAGGGCATGAAGAGTGGTACCACTACCTACCTTAACACTCCTAGTAAATTTTAAAGACACTCATCTGAACTTTAACACAAACTAGAACAATACTAAGTGTAATAATTGCAGGTCCCTTACATACTGTCAGGAATCTGAGTTTAGAGAGGTCTTAAGTTATAAATTAATGAAGGTATTCACATTTACAGTCACAAATCTCAATGATAAGCAAGGCTTTATTCTCTCAATTCTGAAAAAAAAAGTCTCTCTCTCATTTAGTGTCCCCATGTTCATTGTGTTTTGTCACAATAGACTTTCCATAGTATGGTATAGATCCTCCCCAACTTATGCCCGAATTCCGTTCCAACCGACTGGTTGGATCTTGAAATGGACAGATGTGGGAATTATGTTAGCATGGTATGTAGAAGTCATATACCTGTGCAACATTCTGTCATTATTATCTTGTTTTTTATCGACGTGTTTTATTACCTTAAGTTTCATTACAAACTGATGTTCTTTACTTGTAGGTATCATTCATAGGCTTCACAAATAAAAATGCTGTATGGAATGTAGCCTAGGCTAGACCTATCAATTTTCTTGTTATGCACACAGCCACTAGCATTGGCGGAAGTAAGACCAAGGGTAATTTCTATAATTATGTACATATATATTTATTTTTCTAATTTATAGTGGATTTTTCGGTCATATGTGTGGATGGATGTAAGTCGCAGAGGTCAGAAGTCAAGGAGGATCTGTATAACCAAATGCTTTATAAATGTTAAAACTCATTAATGCTTTCATTGAGTAAGTTGTGATAATGGACTAGCATTTTCAGCTGACTGGCAAAGTTGTAATTTCATAGCAGCTGTCAATTTATTTCTTAACTACGTGCTACAAATGTTCGTTTGCAGAAGAAACATACATTTAATTTCAAATACAGTATAACATACAAATATCAAAAGGAGGAAAAAAATATTCGAGACTGTAACAAGAAAATGTTTTGCTTCTTCAGACAGTAACAAGAAATCTTAATGAACTTTTAACACATCTAAGTAAATACATCATCCATAAAACCTGATAACATTCAAGTGAAATTTTACCATAAACACTTTGATATTGAAAATTATACTTTTTCATTAACATATTGGCCGTTTCCCACCGAAGCAGGGTGTCCCCCCAAAAAAAAGAAACGCTTTCATTGTGACTTTTGTTCTAAACAATCTCTTACAACAAAAACTAAATTTTCTGCTCTTAATCCTATTTCTAAACAAACAATTATTTACAGTAGCTCTAGACTTTAAAAATTTAGAAATAACTTAATTTTTTTTCAGGTCTTAAACTTTCAAAAGATATATATACTGTGCTATATAGATATTCCTATTGAGTACTGCATAATGCATTTCTTCAATAAGATATCTGGGCTATCATTTCCTTTTTCATCCATTTGCCCAATTACAACGATCAACATGAATGGAATTATGACTGAAGAGCCTAAAATAAAATGAAAGAGAAGAGCACAAAGGCTGACCACAGACAATTTAGCTGTATAAGGTTAGGTTAGGTTAAGTAAAGTTAGGTAAGGTTAAGGTTAAAGTTAAAGTTAAAGTTAAGGTTAAGGTTAAGGTTAAGGTTAAGGTTAAGGTTAAGGTTAAGGTTAAGGTTAAGGTTAAGGTTAAAGTTAAAGTTAAAGTTAAAGTTAAAGTTAAGTTAAGTTAAGGTTCAGTCAGGTTTGTCAGGAAACAGGATAAGTGTTTCCTGATGCAGGTCTTACTCATATGACTCGCAGCTGAGCTTTTGGTCCTCTAACCAAGGCCTTCCGCTGACTTACCAGTCCACCCCTTTAATGATAATAATAATAATAATAGAGAATGGAGCGAAACAGAATAACTTCAAGAGTGTATCAGTCTGTAGTGGAAGGAAGGCGGGGTAGGGGTCGGCCTAGGAAAGGTTGGAGGGAGGGGGTAAAGGAGGTTTTGTGTGCGAGGGGCTTGGACTTCCAGCAGGCATGCGTGAGCGTGTTTGATAGGAGTGAATGGAGACAAATGGTTTTTAATACTTGACGTGCTGTTGGAGTGTGAGCAAAGTAACATTTATGAAGGGGTTCAGGGAAACCGGCAGGCCGGACTTGAGTCCTGGAGATGGGAAGTACAGTGCCTGCACTCTGAAGGAGGGGTGTTAATGTTGCAGTTTAAAAACTGTAGTGTAAAGCACCCTTCTGGCAAGACAGTGACTGAGTGAATGATGGTGAAAGTTCTTCTTTTTCGGGCCACCCTGCCTTGGTGGGAATCGGCCAGTGTGATGATAAAAAAAAAAAAAAAAGAAAGAAAAAAAAAAGAATAATAATAATAATAATGATAATAATAATAATAATGATAATAATAATAATAATGATAATAATAATAATAATAATAATAATAATAATAATAAATCTTTATTTACTACAAGTACATGTACTAGGTATACAGCCCTAACTGACATCAATGACATATGTACTACTATACAGAAGACCACTTGTTATGCACATTTTGGGCAAATTAGGTCAGTTTTGTCCCAGGATGCGACCCACACCAGTCCCCTAACTCCCAGGTACCCATTTTACTGATGGGTGAACATAGATAACTGATGTAAAGAAACACGCCCAATGTTTCTACCCTCGCTGGGAATCAAACCGAGATACTCACCGTGTGAAACGAGTACTTTAGCCACCAGGCCACGGGTCATAAATCTAACCATCAGATGCAGCTGTGTGAGAGTTTGTGTGGAGGAATAGGCTGGTGCAATGATTTGGTATTTTGTATACAAGTAAAACTTACTTAATGCCTAAGCACGTGCAGCAGTTTGTATTGTGTATGGAAGCATAATGACTCAGCATAGACACTTGGGAGGTGAACTTTTCCTTCCACTTGTTGTATTCTGAGGTGATCAGACCCAACATAGTGTCAGAATCTGCAGTGTTGTTGCATTCTCGCCGAGATTCTAATCTGCAAAGGGGAATTTAGTTACTATTGAATAGATCCTTTTTGAAAATGTACTGTAAATACAAGATAATTTTAATTACTATATTACTATCTTGTGTAATTTTTTAAATGATAAAAAATATTAAGATTAGCATGCTTATTATGACTATGGTAGTTGTAAGCATAGGTTACACAATATTCCAGTCATGATAAGTAAGTTAAAAACTTTACACAAAAAAACACCATCCTCTGTTTCAAGATTCTGAAATAAAGAACAAAGATATCAGTAGTAAATATCAGTAAGATTTCTATATTTATCTGGTAGTTGTTTTCCCACATGAAATGGAGCAGACAAATGTTATTACTGATGACAGTTCTTTTCAGAGATTCTGAACTGAAGTTTCAAAGATTGGTGAATGAATTTGGGAAGGTATGTGAAAGAAATTAAAAGTGAATATGGGAAAATTCAAGGTGATGTAAGTAACAAAACAACTAGGCAATGAAAAATTGGATACTACTAGACTGGAGAGAGTATGGAGGAAGTCAATATATTCAGATATCTAGAAGCTGACCTGGCAACACATATGACTATGAAAAAGAATGTGAATCACAGAAAATAAGAGGGGAGGAGAATGGCAGGTGGTGTGGTGAGACATTTTCAGAAAGATCTCCACGGAGGGGGAAAAAAAAAACAAAAAGGAAAATACCAGAGTATAGTGATATCAGCACTTTTTATGTGGGTGTAAGGCACGGGTTTTAAATGTTGCAGTGAGGAAAAGGATGAAAAAATAGAGCTGTCTTTGAGGGTGATGTGTAGTGTGAATATTATGCAGAAACTTGAAGATGTGGCATTACCAACAAGGTGGTCTGGGCACTTAATGAGGATGAAGTAGAATAGGATGACAAAAGAGGGTGTACAAATCAGGGGTTTCTGAAAGGGAGGAGCAGGAGTCATCCCAGGAAGAATTGGAGGGAAGGTGTAAAGGAGGCTGTGTGTGTTCAGGACTTGACCATTCAGCAGCCTTCAAGAGAAAACTGGACCAATATCTCCACCAAATGCCAGAGCAACCAGGTTGTGATGGATTTGAGGGCCAGAAGTAGCAGTCTGGGTGACCAGGCAAGCACCAGACAAGCCTGGCCCAGGACCAGGCTCCATAGTAGAAACACACTTGAAATGCATCAAAGATATAAAGATACAGACATATCAAAGGTATATACTATAGGCTTAAGTGAGTATTTTAGAGTGGAGTGAGTGAAGGCATGTAGTTTACATGACTTCACATGCTGGTGGAGTGTGAGCAAGATAGCACAGAGGAATTCTGGAAAACTGTAACCAGACTTGAGTCCTAGGGGTGGAAGGTAATGCCTGCACTCTGAAGATCTTTTGTGTTGCAATCAGCACATCATCAGGAGCCTGCAATGTTGCAGAAAAAATAGGAATTCCAATAAAATTCCAGAAAGTCTGATGAAAACCGAATTTGACGAAAATTGAAGCAATATTTCCCATAAGAAATAATTTAAATCCAATTAATCCATTCCAGACACCCAAAAGTATTAACAAAAAAAACAAAACACATTTTATAGAGAATAAATATAGTTTTACATATAGAAAACAATGAGAAATAAATACAAAGGACTAATGAAATGGATAAATAAACATTTAACATCACTTTTACTTTTATTGAAGACTCTTGTTGGCGTATGGAAGACGGTGAGGAGGGGAGAGGGAGGAGAAGTTATCTCTTCCACCATCACAGCCACCACCACCCTCTACCACCATCACAGCCACCACCACCTTCTACCACCATCACAGCAACCACCACCCTCTACCACCATCACAGCCACCACCACCCTCTACCACCATCACAGCCACCACCACCTTCTACCACCATCATAGCCACCACCACCTTCTACCACCATCACAGCCACCACCACCCTCTACCACCATCACAGCCACCACCACCCTCTACCACCATCACAGCCACCACCACCCTCTACCACCATCACAGCCACCACCACCCTCTACCACCATCACTACCACGCTCTGCCGACAAGAAACAAAGCCAGGCTGACTCAGAACGTGTGGGATGCTTTTTGTGGGCACAGGCAGACACATTCAGTATGGCGGACCACTGTCAACTCGACGAAAACCGAGGTAAGGAACGAAAACTGGGACAAAATTTTGACAAAAAAAAAAAAAAGTCATCAAAAACTGAAAACCAGAGCAAACGAAAACTGAGGTTCCACTGTATGTTTAGAGGGAGCATGTTTACTCATTCGAGCAAAGACACTTCCTCTGAATGTATTTGCTTGGAATTTTTTTTATGCAACACTGCAAGCTCCTGATCATGTGTTGATTGCAACATGAAAGGCCTAGCGTTATCATTCAACTCCTCTCATGGTTTTTTGCATTATCCAGTGTATGTATATTATATAGTACAGTACTGTACTATAGCATTAAAGGTTACAATAACCATAATCTTAGTGTCTGGGTTATCTTCCAAATCAGCAGATTTGATCTGCTGATTCAGAACATTGTCCATTTATGTAAAGATCATGAAAAATTAATTTCATAATTCAGACATTTTGGACAATTATAGTAAACCCTCTCCCCCTATTAGTCCATTAATTAGAAGGTTCACCAATTTAAGGAGTACATACTTGGAAAGGAATTGCTATTTTCACAACTGCAAGTCCATAACAGAACTGACTCAACCACAGGGTACAGTGTGGCTGAGTTGATACAGCTGTGCACTTGTAATTCCAAGGATGAAGTTCAATCCCAGGTGCTCCTTATACAATTTGTTTTTTTAACCCTTTGAGGGTTTTGGTCGTACTAGTACGTTTTACGCGTAGGGGTTTTTGACGTACTAGTACTCATAAATTCTAGCGGCCTCAAATCTAGTGGGAGAAAGCTGGTAGGCCTTCATATGAAAGAATGGGTCTATGTGGTCAGTGTGCACAGTCTAAAAAAAATCCTGCAGCACACAGTGCATAATGAGAAAAAAAAAACTTTGACCATTTTTTTTTAATAAATCAGCGACTTTGCAGTGTATTTTCGTATGGTATTTATTGTTGTATTCTAGTTTTCTTGGTCTCATTTTATAGAATGGAAGACATATTACAGAAATTGAGATGATTTTGACTGGTTTTTACAATGAAAGGTGCCTTGAAATTGAGCTCAAAGTAGCAGAAATGTTCGATTTTTACCAAAGTTCAAAAGTAAACAAATCATGCCAAGCGTGCAATACACGTCAACTGGCGAGTCTAATATTCTTTTAACAAGTGCACCAATAATATTATACCATTTTTTACACTAATGCAGTAGTCTGCATAACAGTAAATCTTATATTTTTTGTGAGAATAAAAATTCAAAGTGGAAAGCAAAAGAATATAAGAGGGCCCTTGAGACGTGACTAATGACTAGAGGAAATGTCATTTTAGTGCCAGGAATGTCTTCTTTGTTTTTTCTGGACCCTATTCGAAATTGGCATCTTTTGAAATTTGATGTGAAATGGCAAAATTGCTAAATTCTGACCACTGTACTGGATAGTTGAATTATAAATGGTGGTTTCTTGCACCCATTCGATAGAAAAAATGGAGTTTCTAGCGAAATATTCATGTCTTTTGTCGACTAGTACAGTGAAATTGGCCGAAAATGGGGCTCAAAGTGGGCAAAATCGCCGATGCGTAAACATCGCTGAGACCGCTAACTTTGCGAGAGCATAATTCCGTAAGTTTTCTATCAAATTTCAAACTTTTGGTGTCTTTATGATCGGGAAAAGATTCTCTATCTTTTCATAAGAGAAAATAATTTTTTTTTTTTTTTAAATTTGGCCGACCCTGAGAACGAGTTTCGGAGAGGGCCTGTCGACCCTCAAAGGGTTAATACACAGGCCATCTCCCACCAATATAGGGTGACCCCAAAAGAGACAAAACATTCACTGTCATTCATTCAATTGCTATCTTACCAGAAGCATACTGGCATCATAGCTAAGAATGACCCTCTGAACTGCAAAATCCCCACTCTCTCCTTTATTATTATTGTTACTATTATAATCAAAGAAAGCACTAAACCGACAAGGGTCATACAGCACTGCGGGGCAGAAAATAGTGCTGGGGCTATAAGCAGCTAGATGGGATCAGATGTGAGGGGAGAAAAAAGGTGGAAGGGACGCTAAGGGCTATGTGTCAAAGTTCGTACAGTAAAGCAGTTGCTGACAAAATGTCAAAAAGTGATTGTAAATCAAAAGCAGGGCAGTCTGCAAGAAGGAAAAATGAGGTACAAGTGGTAGGGTGGCGGCAGCATTGGAGGTGAATCCTACAAGCTTGCTGGTAAACCTGGCAATTTACGAGAAAGTGAAGAACCAAAACAGGGACCCGACAAACCTCACAAAGAAGAATAGGGTGTCAGTCCATGAGATACCCATGGGTAAGGCAAGTATGGCCAATGCGGAGACGGGAGAGTGCAGTCTCCTGAATATGGCAACGGTGGTAAGATGGCCACACCCCTAAAAGCGGTTTAATAGAGTGCAATTTGTTATGGTGCATGCCCGACCACCGTTGTTGCCAACAGCCGCCAAGACTGGCAGAGATAACTGGAAAATAATTTCTGAATGGAATACCTCTATAGAAAACCGGAAGCTCATGTACCACTGACCGCGCAGCAGCATCTGCTTGTTCATTGCCCTGCACAACAACGTGTCCAGGGACCCAACAGAAGACGACGTCTTTGTTTTTGCTAGCCACACGGCACAACCATAGGCGAATATGAAGGACTAATGGATGAGGGGAATCAAATTGTTTAATGGCTTGGTAAGCACTGAGGGAATCTGAAATGATCACAAACATCGAAGGAGACTTATATGTAATATGGAGAATCGCTATGAGGATGGCATACAACTCAGCAGTAAAAATACTAGCCAAGTCTAACAAATGTCCTCAGACAACATCATTAGGGAACATTGCAGTGAACCCAACACCATCAGAAGATTTAGAACCACCATATATATACAGTGGACCCCCG